CGGCTACGGCTACTACTGCTACTGCTACTACTACTACTACTACTACTGCTACTACTACTACTACTACTACTACTACTAATACTAATACTAATACTAGTACAAATACTAATACTAATACTAATACGACTGCTACTGTTACTGCTACTGCCACTGCCACTGCCACCGGCACCGCCACTGCTACTTCTGCTACTGCTGCTAGTGCGAGTATCAGCACAGTACTGGCACAGTACTGCTACCACTACCTGCGCCACCACACTTGCGCTTACCATGCCAATGCTCCCACCACCACCACTACCACCACCGCGAGGACGACGGCGACTACTAAACGACTCTTGCTTACTACTGCACTCTTCGGCGTTTGATACACAAGGAAGAATACGTTAGAGACACCATGCTTTCGTGTTGGCTGCTTCTTTGCCGCTTCAGGTGTTTACCATATGGGTTCGTTTTCAGGAGATTTCAATTGTAGCCAAACAGGCTGAAGCGACAGTTGACGAAGATGCCATAGAGATGCAGAATCCTGCAGAGGAGTGGGTTACGCTTATTCTGAGATGTGATAATACAAACCATAGAAATCCTAGCCTCAGTCGTTGAGCCCAGGCAGGTCTAGAACAGGGTGGTTTTCGGTCATGGCGCACTAGCATACCCTGCCAGGGATTGAGCTTCTCCTGTTGCATTTAGGAAAGGCTGGGTGCCGATCCCAAGCCTGAAGACCCAAGCCCTGCTCAGAGTGTAACGTTTGGGCACCGGGCTGTCTGATGGTCTGTTCGGGTACACCATCATGATCTTTTAATGTGACAGTGCGCTAGAGTCCGAAAGTTGGTTCTATAGTCCAGGCATAACGAAACTCTGGTATACTGCAATAAACCATGTGAGCACGTTCTGCTCGAATAGTTGGCGGCTTCGTCTCCCCGAAGAACCCGAAGTCCGGCTACCTTGTTAGCAGGCATAAAACCAAGACATCACCGCTCCAGCCGATTCTTCAAACTTGCAACGAGGCCTGTGTGGGCACGTATGGGCGGAATTTAGCTTTGGGGGTTTGGCATGCTTTGCTGGCTTAAGGTGAACTGCCCTTTCTAATCGAAACTATGCGCAGCTTAACCGAGGCGTGAACCCTGCTGGTTTCAAGTATCTACAATGGACGGTGGGTTTTCTTCTACGGTGCACGTGCGGGGGACTTACTTTAAAACTAACACCAGGGAAAGCAGACTTGTAAGCTGGAGCTTCTTATCAGCTAAACGGCAGGTAACAGGCGACAGTTGATGCCATGTTTCGTGTTTCCTTGAGCCGCGTTGCTTCCTATTTGGGGTCTTGAAAGTAGCAAGGCATCCGAGCAAGTAGGAAAGAAAGGCTTACAAACCGCAGGAAGCCCTGCAACATTTGTATTTAGGACCCCGATCCATAGCGAGGGCTGGCGACAGACCCTGGGTGGCCTGCGCTCGAAAACGTTTGCAACAAGAGCTGTTTAGCGACAACTCCCTGCGGGGCAATGTCCATTTCGCACTTAGCATGACAAAGGTGTGTTGCAAAGCTGGCGCGACAAGGGCTTCTGACGGTTTCTGTGACACGAGTGGCTGCCCCGATCCGTTCCGCAACAAACCTTGTTCGTCGCCATACCAAGTTCGAGAAAACTCACCCAAACGCCTTCACCTGAACCCACGAAAGGAGTTTCACCGAAGCCCTTAATTTCGCATGCCAAAAGCCTGACCCAGCAGAGCCCAGACAGAACAACAGGCTTGAAGCGTAAGCACATCCATATGCCCGAGGACATCCGAGGACCAAAATCCTGCAGCCTGAACCTTCAGTCTTCGAACTTCACTAAGACTTGTAAACATCCTAGAAGCTGAACCTAAAATGGTAATTCCCAATTCCTGCTTCCAATAGAAGGAGCCGGGTTTCGGACTCTTCGGGCAGCTGCTGGCGCGTGCTAAGGGCTCCTGGGCTTAACTCTGTTTGAGTCCTTACGAGGGCTACCGGTTTTGTGGGAGTTTTAGATCTTTAGGGTTTAGGACTTATTAGATATGGCCGCAGAGGTGTTGGTCGGACTTGCTTATATGGACATGTACGTATGCTTGTATGTGTATGTATGTATATGTCTCTGTGTGTGCATGTTTATGTGAATTCGGTGTGTGGATATGAAAAACATGCATGCATGTACATATATATATATATATACAAAGATATGTAAACACCTATATGCCTATATATTTGTATGTATGTATAAAGGTAAGTATACACACATATACACATATGCACGCTTACATGTATATGCATATGAACACATACACACGCAGGTGCGCATAAGCGCTTACATTTCGAAGAGACATGCGGAGATGCATGTATGCAAACATGATTTCACGAGCGCTGTCTTGAATAGTGCCCTCATCGTTTGGTGAACTTGTGACCCTCGGCTGGGGGTGACAGTGAGCAGGCTGTCTAGCCTCGCATCATGTGGGTTCAGGAGATAGTCTAGAGAGAGGTGGCTACCATCCCGAAGGCACCAGACCGGGAACCCTACGGAACGCACCGGAAGAAGTAGCATCATGGTTCCTGATCAGCGCCATATAGTGCCGTTATTACAGTTTGAGACGTCGCCACTTCTTCGGACCCGCGTGTACTGTGTCTCAGCGGCATTTGCTTGGGTACATTATTGGCTTTCCTTCTAGGTAGGTTTAGGCAAGTTCCTGAAAGCTAATTCTTCCCACATTCGCGCGGCCTCACTCAGAGCCCTACACCCCTTTGTCATTTGGGTTGTTCGGTCCACAACCGCGTCAGCAACCCACCGATCACAAGTGTTGAGCCACTTCGACAGCGTCGCCTCTAGCCCCAAACCTGAGTGGGCATGCCAGGTTTTGAGGAGGTCGCCTCGGCGCTCAGCGGCGCCGACGGACCCTTCACAGTCGCGCGACTGGAACATGTTCTGTCGGTTTTATTGTTTATTCAGGGTAGTCGCAGGTAGGTCGAAGCCTCGTTGCCCGACGCCCATCCAAACCAGCACGAAGATCAGACATCCGCGACATGTCTGTGGGCTCCAGCTATCGGTGGTCGTGCTCATCACGGATTGCTTATAGTAGTTGTGAAGCATGAACGTAG